CATAATCGCTTGTTCTGATGGAAGCATTCAGGGGAGCAGAAATGTTACAGAATACATTGCACAAATACACTGATGATACACATGAAGATGTGGCTCCTGTAATAGTTAACATTTATGTTTAGAATTTTACTGAAATAAAACCTATAAAACCTTATCTCAAAAATTTTCATGTTTCAAGTTCATGTTAGTGTTTCACCATCATGTATAAACATAAGACCGCATTTCAGTGAAATGAATAAAACCCAAAATAACAGAAAAGAATTCACTTTGTACCTCTCTTGAAGCTAAGCATAAAAAGAACAAATCTAAGAGTTATTCAAGATTTAAAGAAATATTCATTACATCTACATTGGCATTTTTTCCTATAAATATAAGCATACCTGTTTTAAAAACAATAACGTGTGATTGCAGTTTTTGCTTCTGTTTTATATGGTCATACTGCTCCTCAAGAAAGCTCACATCCATCTCGGTTGGCTGCTTATCACAATCTGAAGCCTGTTGCTCTGAGGTATGAGTCACTGAAAAAATACCAGTCATGTATTTGTAAGCCTTCACCATCTGCTCCAACAAGGAAGAAAAAGTCATGCAGAAGCAGAACATTTCCTTCATTGTGTTGGCAATAAGCAAATCAAGTATGAGGCATCTGGATTCTTCATAAATGAAGAAGTAACTTTCTTGAAACTGCGGTGACTTCTTTTAGAAGTTGCGTGGTCTGCTCTGAAGTTGTGGATTTCAGCCAGCTTGTTTTCATGCAGTGTGGCTGGAGCTGCTGCATACAGAGTTCATGATTATACCTGGGCAATTTGATTTAATGTTGACTTAAGGTTGTGAGCATATGAAACTTTGCCAGAAAACACAGTGAAATACAAAACCTCATTGAACACAGTCAGGTGCACAAAGGGCTGGGTAATACTGGTTTATTGTAGTAATGTTGATTCTTAAAGGGGTGCTGTCATGGTGACCTCCCCAAGACACTAATTCCACCAGGGAAATCTTTCTTCAGGTTTCTTTCCATGTATTTTGTGTCTTTTCATCTCCGCTCTCCCTTCCTTAAATTTTATCCAGTTTTGTTCTTGCTGCGCTTCTTGGGGAAATGGTGTGGGATGGAATGATTTATTATACCTCAATAAGTCTGTGCTTATTGCTCCCTTTTAAAAATGTATTATATCAAATAAAGTATGAGACTATGTCTGGACTATGAATGGCAAGTTTCTGTCCCCAAAATAGGTCCATACGAGACTGTTGCAAGGGCCCAAGAGAGTAGTATGTGAAAAAATAATGCAGTTAAACAGTAGTTTTAATATAATTGTGCATCTGCTGGGTTCCTTGCAGTGAAAAACATTGCTTAAATAAACATTGTGAAAGGGCAGTGTGTAGAAAGAATGCTGGTGTGCTGTATTTTTCCAGTTACTGTCAGAAATTATGATTTGCATTATAAATGATTTACTGATTCAGGCTCAAATCTTGCAGATCTTGGGAATCCCTTTGGAAGTTGTACATGTGCAGGTAACAAGGCTCTAGTTACGCAGTGCATAGACTTTCGGCAAGTCACAGCAGTCTTACGTTTAAGTCTGCTGTAATTCTCTTATTAATCATAGTTTTTTGCCTTCCCAATATGTGTCTTGCAAATCATGCTGCCTACTTCAGCCACAGTCTTTTTCTGCCTTAGCCAGGGAAGAACAGTAAACACAATAGTTTGTCAGACACTGTAGATACTCTTAAAGTTAGCTTCTCTCTTGACCTTGGAAAAAAGCACGTGTCAGAGTTGTTCTGATGTATTGTGGCTTTGGGAGATCTGCTTTGGTATTCTGCCTTCAGCAGTGACAAACATGAAATGCTCTGTAGTAAGGGGTACTTCAGTTGCCTTGTTTGTTCAGTATTCTGTGTTGTTGGCACATGGAGTCCTCCTTTGGCCCTTCAGGCAGTTGGTGTATACATTGTGGCAGGAGATTTAATTAACCTCGTTACAGTTTGAGCTGGCATTCAATACAAACATTATTAATGGTCATAAAAATTACCCAACCTTTTTAAAATTCCAGTCACACTATTTGACTCACTGACCTCCTGTGAAAGTGACTTGTGCAACCTGACTATGTGTTACAGAAAGAACTACCAGGATAGCATCCTTGAACGTGATATGTAAGCTCTGTCTTAAAAGATATACACTTAACTTCTCATTAGAAGAGCATTTAAAGTATGAGTTAGTATCTAATTGGAAATTATTATTAATTATTTGTACTGTACCATTCCCTCAGGATTCTGGAAGAGCCATCATACATAGTTCCACAAATGGATTATAGTTTCTTTCCAAACAGTTGTATGGGTAAGCAGCAAAATCAGAAACTGGTAAAAGAGTCATAGAATCACAGAATGATTTGGGTTGGAAGGGGCCTTAAAGCTCATCTAGTTCCAACCCCCTGCCATGGGCAGGGACGCGTTCCACTAGACCAGGTTGCTCCAAGCCCCGTCCAACCTGGCCTTGAACACTGCCAGGGATGGGGCAGCCACAGCTTCTCCGGGCAACCTGTGCCAGGGCCTCACCACACGAGATGCCCAGTGAAATGAAGTGAGTAAGTCTGGGAGGTACAGCAGAGTGGTAGAAATGGGAAAAGGATTAGCTTACGTTTTGCTGAACCAATCCCATATACATTGTGGTTTGTTGCCTTTTCAGGGAAAGCCTGCGTACAGGGCATCTGGATTCAGTCTCAAGAGGTATGTGTATATATGTTTGTGTATATGTTTTTTGGTGTGTGTATGCTTTGCTAGCAAGGCGTGTGTGTCTGTGTTAGTATATATGCACACAGACACACACACACACATATGTATTTTTTTTATATATGTATGTGTTCTGTGAATAATTTGCAACCAGGGTATGATTTGTAAAATAAGTTGCAGGCCTAACCCACATTGTATCACAAAGTACATAGGGTTAATTGTGGTTTTGATGTGTAGTGAGCTGATGCAGCTGATCTGTGTTATGCCACTGAGATAAACTTGAAAATGGATTATCCACCATAGTGGAACAGCTTCCTTTGTACCCCTGGCCTGTTTAGGTATTACTAATAACAGCAACAGAAAAATTTTGTGTTGTCATACATACATGCAAAATTATGACTTCTGTTTAAAGTCGTTCTGTCTTTAAATTGAGTTACTTGGCTCTCCAGACCACTGTATACTTTTAAAATACGCAGCAGGTGGCACTATTAGTCTTAAATGTTAGATGCCTCCATTTGCCTCGTAGGTTGCTGAGGAATATAAGCAGTCAAGCCATTTCCTAGCACTGGCACACGTATTTCCTAACAGTAATATAGGTTCTGAAAAATTATTGCCATGATTAGGTTTGTGTGAAAACTTGCCTTTAATTGAGCAAACTCCCGTCCAAAACATCATCTATGAGTGATCTTTGTTTGATTGCCGACTGAAGTCTGAAGTGCCGTATTTCCCTTAAGTCTATTCTTCTATCACACAATGGAAGTAATTTTTCATTTCCTTGAGGCAAAAAAAATTGAGAAGACTTCATAATCCAAAAGCAATGGCTTTTAGAAGTTGAAGTAAATGTTTATTGCTCTTGACCTTGATTGCAAAATCTCATTTAAAAAGATGCAACTAATTTTATCTCATGCTAATTAATTTGTGAGTAGGAAATTAGGTTTTATTAAAAAAATGTTTGGAGGACCTTATAGGAATAATTGTTGATTTAAAGATAATTAAAAATGCTCATAATGGTTAACTGACTGAATGCACTTCCTGTAACACTGGATTTTACTGTACACCTGAGACCAGAGGTATATTATTCATGTTGTTCATGTGCAGAATTATAGACATGTCCAGCAATGTTCATGCAGGTTACAAAGACAGAATACAGATACCTGTAGATTTTAACCGGCACTGAGAAGGAAAATCAGGGTTACTGTAATAATCCTCTTTCTCTAGCTTTTTAGAGTGTTTGTTTTTCTTTTTATCCTTTTTTTTTTTTATATACAATTTAAATGCAGTTTTAAAACATCAGAAAGTGACTATTTTATTGTTAGAAAATGTAATAACAAAAAGAAAGGTAGAAACAGGTTGGCTGCTATTATTTGGGTTCCAGACAGTATTAGTAGAATCAATAGTAATTGTTTACTTTTTAATGTGATTTTTTGCTAAGAGCACATATATTTGTATTGTTTGAAAGTGCACCTTTAAAGCTTGCCCTGGTTAGGGCTTGGTGTAAGTAGTTAGTTAAGAGCACAGAACTTTCTGATGATGCAGCATTACTTTTTGCTGCTCTCTACATTTACATGTTTATGGGATGAAGGAGCCTACGGTGCAAGTTTTCAGTATGATCTTGAGATGTTTCTTCTGATATGACTTTTCATGTGCTTTCAGACATAGAGGGTTCAAGTGTAGCAAAGGGAAGGTGGCCCAGCTGTCCTTCAAGTCCCTGTGAAAGTTTGGTGAGCTTTGGTCATATGTAGTCTACCCTCACATTTCCTTGATAGGGCTCTATTTTCCCCTTTTATCCTGTGGGGACTTTAAATAAATATAATTAGGCAGTGTGTGTGTATTAGGTATAGATCAATATATCTGTATATCCAAAATAAATTGGGAATGTTTTTTTGTTAGCTGGTCTGAGGAGGTTGCCTGGTTAGTACAGGTTGTAAAATGGCTTGCCAAATTTCTGTTCTTTAGATCCCTGAGGTTCCCAGGTGACTGAATGCAGTACCACTGATCCAGCCCTAGTGATTGGGAGGGGTTTTGCAGAACACTGGTGTACTTTAGCTTTAATACTCACTTATGTGGCTTTGCATGTATTGGGAAGTTGGTGCTATCCAATTCCCTTTGCAGAACCACATTTGTCTGGGTTTTTTTACCTTCTGGATGATAAATTTGGTCACATTGAAGTCACTGGATTCATCTCCAATTGAATTGCGCTGGTTGTGAGGAGATAAGTGCAGCAGATGTTCTGTATGTCTGTTTTGTGCCTGGCTTAATTAGCATTTTAAAATCTCTGTTCTTCTGTCTTGACTCTGTTGCCATTGAGGATTAAGTAATCTTTCTCTGGAGTGTTGGTTCCTGTGGTAAGTAAACTAAAATGCTGAAATTTGCTTTGTTAGAGGGCTGCTCGCTCTTGTTGGATGTCTGCATTGTTAGGTCTTGAATCCCTCCCTGTGCAAACAATAAGCATCCAAAATTTAGGGTCAAGAGTTGTTTGTTTTGTAGTTCTGCTGCCCTTGCCCACTGAGACTTACGAGATTCTCTTTTAGAAGTGACAATGTGCAGAGACAAGTCTAAGAGGAAACGGAAGTTATTTACCAGTTAGAGATTTTAAACAAATGAAACCTGAACATCTTGCTGTTCCTCAGCCTTCCTTCTTCATTTTCAGGTTTCTTAAATTAGTGTGACAAACAAGATGATTAGGTTTACTCGATTTTGACCTCATAAAACTGTCCATGAAAAGAAGGTGAGAGGGAAAGGAATGGCCTTCAACAGTCATCTTCAGAGGATTTTTGTAAATTCATTGAAGCTTCCTTGATCTTACAGATGCCTTAAATTCCAGTTGCTGGGCAGTGGAGTTGTGTTTCTGTTACTACTACCTAAGTATCTTTTCTACATCAACTACTTATCTG